TACACATACTGTTCTCTCTTTCCTCTGCAAGAACTCAGTTAAAAAGCAGAACGACAACTTACTCAGTCCCATTTCTCAGAGCACACATACACACACACACATATACATACATACACCGATACACGCACTCATTTATACATACAAGAGAGAGAGAGAGAGTGAGAGAGACGGGTTCTTGAGATTAGCGAGCTTAAAGAAGAGATCTTGGAGAAAAGAAAAAAAAAATCAGGAGGAGTAATAGCAAAGGCGGCTGGGATTTAAGTCACCCCTTTAATTGTGGGGTTGGTTGCCCAATATTAATGGCAGTCATATCAATTCACTAATATAATGTGGGTGAAATAGCAAATACTATTTACAACAAGGACCAATAGAGAAAAAAAAAAACAAGAACCCATCTTCTTAATTTGTTCGTAATCGCTCTCTGCAGTCTTGCCCCGGTTCGGCTCGATAATCGAGGCATTATTTACTTTTATTTTTTTAAATTTTGTTTTCTGGGGTTGGGTTTTGTTTTGTTGTGTTGTGGTTGTATTGGTGTTTGGTGGACCAAATATGAGTATATTCTTGTTACAGAGGAAGTGAGAGAGTGATGGGGTTAAAGTAAAGATTCAATCTTTTGTCCTATTTATTTATTTACCAGAAAAAAAAAATTAGTTTCTTGGCAGTTGGATGTAAGTATAGTGTAAGTACTAAAAGAGTAACAGTTGAGAATTTGGGTTTTTTTTTTATTTTTTTTTATTTTTGGGAAAGATGAAGTTCATGAAGTTGGGCTCAAAGCCTGATGCTTTTCAAACTGATGGCAACTCTGTGAGGTATGGAGTTTTTTTTTTTTTTTCTTAATTTTTTTTTATTGCATGTAGTAGTTATTTTGTTGTCTTTTTATGTTCTTGTCTGAAGGAAATTTTACAACTGTTTTGTGTTTTGTATCACTGTATTCATATGGAAATTATGCTTTTTTCTTGCAGGATTAATTTGATTTTTGTTGTTGTTATTTTCTTGATAACTTATGGTCCACTATATAATTAGTAGAGTAATTAATTATTATTGAAACAAAGTCCCTAATGATGTAAATCTATAGTTAATTGAGTTCCACAAATTATCCATTAAATTATTTATTATATGATTAAAAGGGCCCATTGTAACTGTAAAGTGTAATCCCAACATGATCTAAAGGTTTTAAATATAGATTTATTTCAATTATTTAAAGAAAATTAAGCGGCTTTTTTTTTTTTTTTTTTTTTTTCATTTTTGATGATTATCGTTTTTGTGTACTCATAGATTAGCTTTTGATCTTGAGATTATTATAGGATAGGTAGTAAACTTGCACATGCATTGAAATTTATTTTAAGGTTATTTGTTCGAACATTTTCCTTCAAGACTTAAGAATTCGATTTTTTATTTATTTATTAATTTTTGTATATTGTCTTAATGGAACTTCTATTCGTATAATACCTTGTGTAACTTGATTGACCTGTTCTGTTCAGGTACATATCCTCTGAATTGGCAACCGATGTTATCGTAAATGTTGGCGATGTGAAGTTTCATCTCCATAAGGTGACAATTTTTTTCGACTACTCTAAATGATGCGTTTTTCTGGGGTATTTTTGCTAATAAAATTGAATTGTGGTTTTTTTTGCTAATAGCTGCAACACGAGGAGTTTTTAGCAATTAGAGTAAACATAGGGGGTGCATAATGCAATTAACTCATAAAATTTCGGTTATTTTTTACACTCCCAAAATTTTCCCTCATGTCTCAGCAATTCCATCTATAATAACTACCTCCTCTGTTTCAAGACACATTTTTTTATACCAATTTTGCCCTTTAATCGTTGATTGTTTAAGCTCATTAAAAAGGAGGTTCGTTGCATACAGATTTCGTAATCTGTATTTACCTAAGACAACACTTAATTTCAGGAGGAAAGTATTACAACATTTGATTTTTATCTTTAATTAATGACGTGTCCTATCCACATTCGTCCTTTTGCAGTTTCCACTCTTGTCCAAGAGCAACAAACTACAAAAAATCGTATCAAAATCCAACGGCGAAACCCCCGAAGAGCTCTCATTGGCCGATTTCCCAGGTGGGCCCAAAGCATTCGAAATATGTGCGAAATTCTGTTACGGCATAACAGTAACTCTCAATCCATACAACGTAGTCGCTGCACGCTGCGCCGCAGAGTATCTCGAAATGACCGAAGAAATCGAGAGAGGAAACCTCGTTCTAAAAATCGAGATATTCCTCAACTCAAGCATCTTACGAAACTGGAAAGATTCCATCATCGTACTGCAAACCGCAAAATCCCTTCTTCCGTGGTCAGAAAATCTCAAGATCGTCGGCCGATGCATCGATTCCATCGCATCGAAAACCTCGGTGGACCCCACTTTGATCACGTGGTCCTACACTTACAACAGAAAGCTGGCATCGTTGGACAAGAATATTCTTCCGAACGGTGTAAAATGTCCTAAAGATTGGTGGGTCGAAGACATATGCGAGCTGGATATCGATCTGTACAAGAGAGTTATGGTGGCGATAAAATCGAAAGGCCGAATGGATGGTGCTGTAATTGGCGAGGCGCTAAAAACTTACGCAGTAAGATGGCTGCCCGATTCTGTGGTCGCGTTGTTGTCTGAAGTTCATGTATTAAGGAACAAGTGTTTGGTGGAGACTATAATTTGTTTATTGCCTTCAGACAAGGGTATAAGCTGCGCGTGTAGTTTCTTGCTAAAGCTGCTTAAAGTTGCAATTTTTATCGGAGCCGACGATTCTTCGAGGGAAGATTTGATCCGGAGTATCGGTTTGAAACTTGACGAAGCTTCTGTTGATGATCTTTTGATTCCAGCTAGGCCTCCCCAGGTGGGTATTTACGATATTGACCTTGTGCAGCTACTCCTGGATCGGTTTGTGGAGAATGAAAAGAGTGGCGTGGATTTGAAAATTTCGGACAAGAATTGTAAGAATGATGGCGACTTTGTTTTAGGAAGTGGGCCGTGGATGAAAGTAGGGAAAGTTATCGATGGGTATCTTGCAGCTATTGCGAATGATCCGAATTTATCGAGCTCGAGTTTTATTAAATTGTCACAGTCGATTCCCGATTCTGCTAGGCCTATTCATGATGGATTGTACACTGCCATTGACGTTTATTTGAAGGTACGTCTTACTTCTTTTTTTTTTTTTTTTTTTTTTTATAATTGTTGAAGTAAATGAAATTAAAAAAAAAATTTTTTTTTTTGCAGGAGCATAAAAGTATAACGAAATCGGAGAAGAAAAGCCTGTGCGGGCTGATCGACGTGAAGAAACTGACAACAGATGCATGCATGCATGCAGCACAAAACGAGCATCTACCACTTCGTATGGTGGTTCAAGTTCTATTCTTCGAGCAGGTAAAAGCAGCAGCAGCTGGGACTCATCAAACCCTAAAAAACGATAATGACGTGGCGGTCCCTTCTAGAAACAGCGAGGCAAACTGGGGGAAAACGGTTCCAGAGAATCGTAAATCATTGAGGAAACAAATGGATGAAATGAAGATAAAAGAAGATGAAAAAATCGGAAAGCTTTCGAAGAGAGGTCATAAAAACAGAGGATCCGGGCCCCAGTTGTTGCCTTCTCGTTCTAGGAGAATTTTCGACAAGTTGTGGATTGTGGGAAAAGGGTTTGGAATAAACGGAGAGAACAAAAGCTCGGAAACTTCCGGAAGCTCGCAGAGCCCTTCTTCGATGTTCCGAGGGGAGATAAAGTCGTCAGGTTCATCTTCTAGAAACAGGAGGCACTCGATTTCGTAAGTGTAAAGTGGGGGGAAGTAGGGTTTTCATTGGCAGTAGATTTGAGGGTTTGGTCTGCACAGTCAAGAAAATGTTTTTTTTTTATGTTGTAGAGAAGTGTTTTTATTTGTTATTAGCATTTGATTTTCCTGGATACTAATTAATTATCTTATCTTATCTTATATTTCTAATGTTGTTTCATCTCAAATTGTATTATTAGTTATTGTATTGACTCTTCACTCTTGTGAAATTGTATGAGAAATACTAGCAAATTAATTAACTTTATTTATATTTACAAGTAGGGATGGCAATGGGTACGGGTTTGGCGGGTCTTGGACCCGGAACCGACTTGTTTAGGGTGTGTTTGGGTTAGCTAAATGATTCTGGTCGGGTAATGGGTTTAAGTTCTAGAACTGGATGGTTCTGGGTCGAGTTATGGGTCTTATTGGAACCGACCCGGAACCGACCCGTATATAGAGTTTCATTTATCAAACTATCAATTTCCATCTTGTCTATTCTCATTTACCTATTTTCACTATTTTATTTTTCGAATCTCGTTTCTCGTGAGTAATATTTATCACTTATCAACCACCGCTAATTGTCTTGCATTTTGGATTTTACTTATTATCGAAGTTAAATATAATTAATTTTAATTTTATTGTTCATGTTATGTCACTTGTAGAGATTTTTTAAAATATTGTATTTTAGTATTGAAATTATTTCGTAAAAATATCCAAGCAAAAGGTTATGAAAGTTAAAAAATATTAAACTTTTTGTATGTTAATGGGTCTAGCGGGTCTGGCGGATCGGAACCGTTTAGTTAGGGTTTGGGTTGGGGTGGGTCTGGGTCTAAGCTAAAGCGAGTTAGGACGGATCTTAAGTTTATATATTGTTTGTGGGTCGGATCTTGAGTTTAAGCAAACTCGGCCCAGAACCAACCCGTTGCCATCCCTATTTACAAGTAATGTATACTTTGTGGAATAAGTTGGAAATCGGACTTATCGGATTAACTTCCAATTTTTTTTTCGAAAATGAAAAATTGGTACCAATTATGATATAAAGGATTTCGGAAATATCAAAAAATTGGTATTTCAGAATTAAAATTAAAAAAATTGTTCCAATAATATTGAAAAAAAATTGGTTCGAAGTCAGCGGAATTTAGAAATTCTACCTTTTATCCATATAATACAAAATTATATATACGTCATTCCAATTTCCAATTATGATAAAAAAAAATTTGAAAGAATCGAAAATCAGAACTTTCATAATTCAACGAAAATATTATTCCAAAAAAGAAAACATTTCAAATCTAAATAGGTGGAATTACAAAAAGACCCTTCTTTTCGAAAAGTTACATTCATCATCTGCAGTTTGTAAATTTCTTGCATGCTCCCCTGAGAGAAGGGTGTTAATGTAAGAAATTTATAACTTTCAAGGAAGTGTATGTAATTATGAAAACATGAAGGGGCTTTTTTAAATAAACTTCAGTGATTGTATAATAAAAAAGAAAAAAGGATATGCCGTTAGATTCAAGAAAAGTCAACGAGAAAAAGCGTCAACGTATCAGTTGCTTCAAAAGTCAAAACTATCTACACTCTCTTAGGAAAAATGAAATCTTTTTCACAAATCGGATTATCTCTCACCTTCTGCTTTCTCTTGATCTCCGGTCAAACCAAAACGGTTAATTCTTCATCCGACGAGAATTCCGGCGATGAACAGTGCAAAGCATGGCTGGTTCAATCAATCCCCACCGACATGCCCCACCTCCGCCTCGTTCCCGGCGTTCTCTCCACCGGTAAGCCACCCACGCCACTAATCTACAACCCAATTTTATCTTATTTTTCCACAATTAACCTAATTTTCGTGGTAATTTATCGATGCTCTGCCTGCCGCGGAAAGCCCTAGATTTCATCACTGTAGTATGTATATAAACTGTAGTATGTATATAAGGGTAAATTACGACCACCCCTCGAGCTACGGTTAAATTACGAAAAAATCCCTACTGTTTGGATAATTACAATTACCCCTCAATTATGTAGTTTTTGATGCACCAAAATCTGATATATACAAGCCAAAAAATACTTCTTGCTTTAAATTGTGGAGCTCGAATGGGATAAAACTGGTACAAAATTAAAAATATTTCATATAATTTAGAAGATTCCACTAAATTTGACACAGCAAGGGTGAATGTGTAAGAAGATTTATAGTTAATGGGATGGTTGTAATTACCCAAACACGAGGGTTTTTTTTCGTAATTTGACCATACCTCAGGGGTGGTTGTAATTTACCCATGTATATAATGCTTACTTGTATTGTTTCATGTAATTGAAAAAAAAGGTGACGTATTTCGATGGCTAGCTGGAAATTCATCGCGAAGCCTCGATATAATTGCACAATACTGGCAATTGTTGGCACATCCAGAAAATCCCCAATCAGGGGACTATGGTTATTCGAAGGAAGAAATGAACAAATTTGGGGCAAATAACGGAAATCGAGTTTATCGAGCGTTGGAAAACGCTGCTGATCGCAACATTAGTATAAGGTAGGTAAGAGTCATCTGTAATATGTTTCTTGAATTTTAATGGTAATTAATTTTTAGTAGTCAGACTCTTACAGCACTCTGGTGTTTACCCCGATTATACCGAAGAACCATCGAATCTCGCTTCGGGAAGGCCGAATGTGAGGAATGTAACTTTACTACTTAAGGACTGGTTTGGATCGGGCATTGTTCATGCCAAGGTTTGGATATCGGATAACAAAGACGTGTACATTGGGTCCGCGAATAACGATTGGAAATCTTTAACTCAGGTAATGTAACTACTACGGTTTACTAACTGTAGTAACTTTTTTGGATGACTGTTTAGTCGAATGATCGAATTTATCGAACGGGTTTTAGGTTAAGGAAGTCGGGATTTATCTCGTCGGCTGTCCAAGAATTGCAGAGGAGGTCAAAGTTTACTACGACAACTTATGGAAACTAGCCCATCTTAACTCTTCTGCTTATACGAAATCGATTTGGGATCAACAATGGCAGATTATCCGGAAGGTTCCGTGTTGGTCACATTTTCTACTCCCAGAAGAACGGTGCAGGTATATAACTACGGAACTCTTTTGTCGTTTTCTAGTTTTAGTTGTTAAATTAAGAGAATTGTCGATTTTATTTTTCTTGCAGATCGCCGCTTCCTAAGTATGTGGAGGTGAAGCATGTAACTGGCTACCCTGTGCTTTCAGATCCCGATAAGTTTCGTGTTTCTGTTGAAACTCCTGGATGGAATTATTCAGCATCGCAGCCTCAATCGAGCTATCTGTCTTTTGCTCCACCGGAGGTTTTTAATCTAACCCGTGATTTTTTTTTTATAGCTATTTTCCTTTTCAGTTTCTTGAATAATCTAGATAATATTGTATCAATGTTTGATGGATTCAGATTAGGGGTGGAAATTGGAACTGAAATTCCGAATTCCGTGATTCTGGTCCACAAATTTCCGATTTTAGAACCATGTTTTTTCATTTGGAATCCTGAATGTTCCGATTTCTGATTTTTCCGTTTTTTTTGGGGGAACGGAATTTTGGAATACATATTATCTGATTTCTGACCTGATTTTAATTGCCAAAAATATTTCCAAAAATTCCATTTCTTTTGGTATTAGTATTATTATGTATTTTGTATTATATATGGCCAAAAAATTGGAATTTCCGAATTCTGCCGATTTCGATTCGAAAAATTTCGATTTTGGAACAACTTTTTCCTTTCCAATTTTCGATTTTTTTTAGCGGAATTGGAATTATTTCTCAAGTGTTAATTTCAATTTGATTTGATCCATCACATTTCCTCCCCTAATTCAGATGGTGTATCCAAAGAAAGAGTGCCTGATTTTCTCAAGATTAAATTCGTGAAATATGCCTATTACGGAATTAGTTTTCCACTTCCGAAAAAATAGGATTTTTTCCACAAATATTAATTTCGATGTGATTCGATTTCCACCCTTAATTCAGATAGTTTGTCCAAAACAAAAACGTGCTCGATTTTTGCAAGATTAAATTTGTCGAATATGTCTATTTCACAGCTGTCGTTCAGCAAGCATCAGGCAGACGAACAAGGTTGGGTGGACACAATAAAATCTGTCGGAAACGGAGCTACACTTCGAATCAGTACAATGGATTGGCTCGGTCAATCTCAGTACACTTCCCCGACAGTATATTGGTCAACCCTATCGTCAGCCATATCCGAGGTACATCGATATTAACAACGAACGGGATCAATCTTTAATCATCTTTATTAATTTCTAATTAATTATATAGGTCGTCTACAGTAAGCAGGCGAAAGTAAAACTACTCGTTTCATACTGGGCACATTTCATCAACAACACAGACCAGTACCTAAAATCACTTCTCTACACAAACAATCTCTGCTCTTCGTCAAGTTCCAATAAATGTGGTGGGAAAATCGAGATTAAATACTACCTCGTCCCGGGGTATAATTTGACCGGAGCTGCCTCCACAGCTGGCGGCGCAGCCACCGGAAATATTTATCCGGCGTACACGAGAGTCAACCATGGGAAATACGCTGTGAGCGATAAACGGGCCCACATTGGTACGAGCAATCTCGTGTGGGATTATTTTTATGCGACTGCAGGAGTTGGATTTGGAACGAATAACGTTGCCATTGTTGACCAGCTTCGAGAAATCTTTGACGCGGATTGGGAGTCGCCTTATGCAGTGCCTGTTGTGCCGTTATTGGAAGAAGGATATGCTTGTTCTGGCTGAACGACGAGTATCAGTATTATCGTTTTTTTGGTGAGGCTATTTCCCGATGCCCGAACATCGTACACAATGTAATATGTATGTGAAAGATCACACGAATAGAGATGGCAACGGGTCGGTTCTGGGTCGGGTTTGCCTAACCCCGAGACCCGACCCGTGAAAAATATATAAAACCCAGACTCACCCCAACCTGGTTCAGCTTAGACCCAGACCCGCCCCAACCCATACCCGAATTAAACGGTTCTGACTCGCCAGACCCGCAGGACTCGTTAACATAAAAAAAAAGTTTATTATTGTTTAACTTTCATAATATTTTATTTATTTATTTTAACAAAATAATCTTAAAATTAAAATAGAATATTTAAAAATACTTCTACAAGGAAAGTTTAACAGGCAAGACGGCGGTGGTTGACATTTGATAGATTTTACTTACGAGAAATGAGATTAAAAAAAATGAAATGATGAAGCATGGGTAAATGTAAATAAACACGATGAAAATTAAAAGTTTGATAAATGAAATCATAAATCTATTTTTATACATAGATTAATTATTAGTATAATATATTTATACGGTTTGGTTTTGGGTCGGTTCCAATAAGACTCGTAACCCGACCCAGAACCATCCGATTCTAGAAACTTAAACCCATTACCTGACCCAGAATAACTTACCCAAACCTGTTCCAAAATGAGTCGGTTCCGGGTCTAGGACCCGGCAAACCCGTACCGATTGCTACACGAACCCATTTTCGTAATTTTCTTAGTCCGCACTCGATATAGTTCAAAGTCTCGAATATAATCAACTAATATTTTGAACGGAGAGCAGTTGCTTTTTGACACTGACACAAATAAATTCTAGAAGAACAATAAAAGTATAATATCCTAATTTTTGTGGTCTGTGAATTATCGTACTCAATATTTGAAATTTAATTCTTGTGAATTATCGTAATCAAGTAAACACTTGATTTTGACGAAGAAACCAATTCCATCACTTGATTAATTTTATTTTATTTTGCAATTTTCGTCAATTTAATTCAACTCTTAAATTTATCGATCTGTTGAATTTAAAACTTCTTGATATGGAATATATAATATATATATTTTTTAAATCTCTTAAAGTATCTCATCATATCCAAACACCTTCTTTTCTATTGTGACACGTGCAGAGAAGAAGACAAAGTTCTTACACAAATTAAAGTGGTGTTTTTTTAGTGTTTGCAAATGCAATTTTTTGATTCAAACGTGTCTTTAAAATGAGTGGCTTTAAGACATAACTTTAAAAATTAAAAGTACTATTTCCTCAACAATTATTAAGGAATTTTTAGACATTTTACCAAAATAAATTAACTAACTGTAGTTAATTTTTTTTTAATGAGATTTGCACATACAGCTAAGTTTTATTCACAATCACTAACTTATACTTTCTCAGATCGCTTCTCCAAATTAACACTATCTAACTACGAGTCATTAGGTTTTCAGATTTGGTCTAATGAAAATAGTTTGATGTTGAAAATTCAAAGTCAAAAGTTACTTAATTCATGAAGAAATAACAAATTGCACTTGAGTTGTTTTTTTGTGAGGGTTTTAGAGTGTATGACCATCAATATTATCATAGAATAAATTAAAAAAAAAAAGAACTAATTTCAAAGAAATAATATTTTTAATTGCTAAAAGTCCTTTTGTTTTGTATAAATATTGTTAAAAGTTTGAATAGAATACATATACAAACATCAAATTGGACCTGGAACTCTAGTCCTAGTATCTCACATAGTGACATTTCACTAATTTAAAAAATTGAAGTCACTTTTGCTTACATACACATTTGACATTTCTAGTCAAGCAATTACAAAAATCATAATAACTGTGGCTTGTGATCATATATTTTTATCGTCATAAATTTCTATTCTAATTAAATATATTTACTTGTATTATATTAAATAATTTAAACTTTAATATATAGTGTCACTATTAAAGTCACAATATTTTTATGTTATCACTAATAACTTCTCTCACTTAATCTCTTTTTATTGTCACTGAAAAACAAGTAATAATCCCTTTTTATCATCACTATATAGCAATAGTAATAGCCCGTTAGAAACAACCTCAGTAACAACAGTCTTTTGCCGAAGGGAACCGCTAAAACAAATAACGTTATTTTCTCACTTCAATACCATCAATAGAAAAAAAAAGGTAATGACGTTAATACCCTTAATAAAATCAATGCCACACAAATTTTGTGTGTGATATTGATTTTCATCAAGGGTAATATTGTCATTACCTATTTATTATTTATTTTTTATGTTGTTTGTATTGAAGTAAGAAAAAAACGGTATTTGTTTTAGCCGCTCCCTTTGCCTAATCGTGTGAAAATTAGTGTTATCACTCAAAAGAGCAATGTTTGGAAGCATTTTGGATCTTATTTTGATTTCATTTTGAGGAAATATGTTTTGAGGGAATAATTTGAGAATGAAAGTAATGTTTGTTTGTATTTTGGAAGGAGACAAAATACACTGTAGCAGTCAAATCATGTTTAAAGGTGTTAGAAAAATGTATTTTTAAAGAAAAAAATTGAAAGATGAATTGATGTTTATTTGTTTTTTAGTGAAGACATTTTTTTACTGTAGCAGTCAAATCATTTTACTGTAGCAGTCATATCATGTCTGAAGGAGAGAGAAACTTTTGATGGATTTAAAAAATCTTATTAACTATACAGTATAACCTCGATAAATTAATAATCTTGTCTAAATAATAATTTCTTCTAGTCCTGACTCAACAAAAACCTACTAAATCATTAGTTCAATAATATAATATTTCACTTAATTAATAAAATTTTACTACAAACGAGTGAATTAATTTATAGAGGTTAACAATATCAACTAACTATTTATGTTTTAGTTAGGAAGATATTCATTTGATTTCCATCCACTTAAATTAACTAGTCACAGTAAAAAATCAGACAAAATACATGAAGTTTCTAGGAAATTGCCACAATTCAAACTTTGCTGTTGCATATTGGGAAAAAAACAACATAAATAAATATTATAATACATCATATATACATCTCTCCACTATAAATAGGCATGCAATATTTCATTCTTAAGCACTCACTTCAACCAGAGCTTTAGCTAATTAATTTGCATACAACAAAAAAATCTTACAAAAAAAAAATAAATATATATAAATTTATATATATATATTTATCTTCTGGCTACAATGGCTATCGTCTCTGTCGACGTTAACAAAAACGAAATCGTTCGCCCGGTCGCTAATTTCCCTCCTAGTTTGTGGGGTGATGTTTTTAATTCATACACCATGGATATTCAGGTATATCTATCTATCTATCTATCTATCTATCTATCCATATCTATCTATATCTATATATACATATATGATATGTATAGGAAATATATATAGGGTTATAAATTCATGTAAATACTAATTATATTTCATTTTCTTTTTTGTAGTTATCAGACATGTACACTGAAGAGATTAAGGTGTTGAAGGAAGAAGCAAGAAATATGCTGATTTCACGCGACAGCAAATTGTCGGAGAAACTGGCTTTTATCGACACGCTCGAACGCCTCGGCTTATCTTATCACTTTGAAAATGAAATCCAAGAACAGCTCACGTTAGCATTCAATGGCCATCTCAAACTCGAGCCCGAAGAAAACGATGATTTGTTCATAAACTCATTGCAGTTCAGATTGCTGAGGCAGCATGCCTTGGATGCACCTTCATGTAATTATTACTAAATTATTAATTAATTAATTAATTTCTGTATAAAACTATTTATAATTAGTTATCTGTTGTATATTTAATTATTTCGGGATATTTTTATATGCAGCCGTTTTTGAAAGACTTGTCGAAAATAACGGCGAATTCAAGAAGAGTAGCCTTGTAAGGGATATTGATGATGTTAAGGGTTTGTTAAGCATATACGAAGCTTCATATTTGAGAAGAACCGACGAGGAGATTTTAGACAAGGCCTTTTCTTTCTCGAAAGCTCATCTTGAATCGGTTGCTCCTAATTTACCCGAATCGTCCCTCAAGAAACACGTTTCGCGTGCTCTCTATCAATCCCACGTACGTGGCATTCCGAGAGTCGAAACGCACTTATTCATCTCACTGTACGGAGAATTCGAATCAAAGAACGAGTCGTTGTTGAGGCTGGCCAAATTGGATTTCAACTTGCTACAAATGCAGCACAAAATGGAACTCTCTGAAGTTACAAGGTAATTCATTAGATGCACGTTTACAGTTAAACCTCTATAAATAATCAATACAGTTTAATTTGGACTAGGGAAATTCTATTAATTTAGTGAATTATCAAATTATGGAGTTAATATTTTAACACGTTTTCACCGAGTCGGGACCGAGAGAAACTATTATTTAATCGAGGTTCTACTAATTAATCATTTAGTTGATCTAATTAATTTGTTGCATGAATATATAAAATAGGTGGTGGAAGGAGGTGGATCTTATTTCAAAGCTTTCATTTGCTAGAGATAGAGCTGTTGAGTGCTATTTCTGGACTGTCGGGGTTTATTCCGAGCCCCAATACGGGATTGCTCGAATCATGCTTGCTAAAACCATTTGTATGATATCTGTTATAGACGACACATTCGACGCATATGGAACAATTGACGAACTCACAGTTTTCAACGATGCCGTACAAAAGTAATTAGGGTTCCTTCTTTATTTTCTTTATTTTTTCTTTCTTTTTTTATTTAATGTGGTACTAATAAATGGAGAAATGTGTATGATCAGGTGGGATATAAGCGAAATCGACCGACTCCCAGAGTACATGCAGATATTGTATAGAGTTCTTTTAGATCTTTACGAATCTTTCGACGCAGAGTTGTCTCCGAAAGGAAGGTCGTACGCCGTTCATCATGCTAAGGAGGCGGTACGTGTAGTAATACTATATTTAATTAACTAGTTAATTTAAATTTAATTTAAACAAAAATCCTAATTATGTGTATTATTATTGATGATTGAGTAGATGCAACAAATTGTGGGGAGTTACTATACCGAAGCAAAATGGTTTATCAAAGGTCATTTGCCAACGTTCGACGAGTATATGAGCGTTGCTAAAATCACCTCCACTTATTACGTACTCACCACAACATCGCTCATAGGCATGGACAATGCGACAAGCCAAGTGTTCGATTGGCTTTTGTCTAAACCTAAAATTGTCGAAGCTAATGTCACAATATGTCGTGTCGTTGATGACGTCGGCACATATGAGGTACGTATTAATATAATTAATTAATTAATTAATTAAATCTACATATTATATATGATATAAATTAATTTTATATGTTGAATGATATGAAAATTAATAGGTTGAAAAGGGAAGAGGGCAAGAAGCAACTGGGATTGATTGCTACATGAAGGAGCATGGTTTATCAACAGAAGTCACTATCGACTTATTTTACGAAATGGCTGAAAATGCATGGAAAGAATTAAACGAAGGGCTGATGGATAATTCCGTGACGATGGAAATTCGCATGCGAATTTTCAATTTGGCACGATTGATTGACGTTACTTATACCCACAACGGAGATGGATACACACATCCGGAGAAATTGCTCAAGCCTTCTATCGTGGCATTACTTGTCGATTCGTTCGAAGTCTAAACTTCTTCTTTAATTTGCACAATAAAACGTATGTTAATGTACGTAAATAAATAATTTATCGATTTTTTTTGTTCTCGTTTAATTTCTTGTAACTCATGATGTTGTAGTCTTGTTGTGTAAGCAAGCCATGATGTTTTATCGTTTAATAAGTTATTTTATCATTCAAATATGTTGAGTTCATCGATTACAATAAAAGATTCACTAATTGAATAATCTTCTAGTGAGAAAATATAGTTTTTATTTTTCACCCTGAAAAAAAAACAAAACGAATAATTTATTTTTTCTCGTTAAGTTTAAAAAAGTTCAATTCAAGGTGCATTGTGAATGATTTGTTATATTTAGTAGGTGTAAAGTGCTATTAATTATTTTCACTGGGGTAAAGTGCCAAAATGCTATAGTGCAAGGGTGCAAAGTGAAATCGTGCTTGAGAGGATAATTTATCCGTTCGGATGAAGTTTGGTATCTGGGCTTTCCCCACTAATGATAAATGGGCCCACAATTGGGTTGATAGTTTATCAGCCCACAATCCCACTTCACCCCCCCAGAATGTGCAATGACAATATTACCCCCACTTGGCCAAAGTGCTGGTACTGCTCCAGCACTCTCCTCCTCCGGCGGGATTCCCAAACTCACACACACGAGCAATCGCGGCGGCGATTGGAGCAGCAAATGAATCGGCGGCGGCGGAAGACGGAGAATTCTCGTAAATCCTCCACTTATTTACGGATTTGCCACCGCTATTTCCTCAACAACCCCAATCCGAGCTCCGATTTTATTCAAAGGTACAATTCGTTTATCCCCCTTTTTTCCTCTTTGATTTGCTATAATTTAGCATCTCATTAGTTCCATTATTTTTCTTATATAGTATAATTTCTTCTTACCTTGAGATCGTAGCTTGGAATTAATTGTTTAAATTGTCAAGATAAGATAAAGATGTTTGATTGACTAGATAAAATTAAATACTCTAATAAGGTCTTATTTGGTTGTCAAGATAATCGATGATTAACTAAATAGTTGGACTTAATTTGATATTTGGTATCCTCAATAAATTGTCGGGTCGACCTCTTGCCTTATCTTGGCTTATCTTGCCTTCATTAGATTATTTAATCTTATCTTGTCAACCAAACGGGACCTAAAAATCTAATTATTTTATCAAACCATGGGGGACAACCTCCAACACGAAAACTCCTAAAAGGCAAGATAAATCATGATAATATTATATTTGCGGGTTGATCTGTCAAGTTATTGGGATACCACACTTCGAACAAACTCCAATCATTTAGTTACTAGTAGCTAATCTCCCCAACCAAACGATGCCTAAGAATATATATATTTTATTTGTTTTTCATCTTTGCACAAGTATTAAGAATGTCAATAAGTGTGTCTTGATTTTAAGAGAAACGCATTAAAAAGACTAAAATAACCTTGATCCTTTAATGCCGTGACAAGAGAGAGCAAGGTTAGGAGTAATACTTAGAGTTTAGTTAATAAAATTAAAACATAAAAAATGCATTTAATTCGTTATTGGAAATCTAATAGACAGATAATATGGAACAAAATATTTTTTAAAAAGAGACAAAAATATTTTTTTAAAAAGAGACAGTTATTACATAGAAACAGACCAAATATTATAATATATGACCAAGACCAAGAAGGCCTGACTTTTATTGATCAAACTTAAAGAAAAATATAATCTCCTATATCCCAATGTTTCAACAAAGTAAGAACTTGACAATTATTCCAGGGAGAAAATAACGAAAAACAGACACCACTAGACAAATGGAGGTAATAATAATAATCAAAGTCAAGGTCAAACTCTTCATAATGGTAGGGCCACCACATAAAGATTCTCCTTCCTTTGAGCAGTTATTCCAGGATTCTCTGTCAGGTCCATATTCCCTGGATTCACACCATCAGGCAGTTTCCAGTTGAAGCTGTACAGAAGCTGAGCCAAGAAAAGCTCGACGCTAGCCAGGCTAAACGTTATTCCAGGGCACATTCTTTTTCCGGAACCGAACGGCAGATACTCGAAATCCCCACCCAAGAAATCCCTGGAATTTTTCTTCTCGAATCTCTCTGGCTCGAAGCTGTCGGGATTTTCCCAGTGCTTTGGATCCCTCTGAATTGCCCAGTTGTTGACCAATACCTTCACATTTGCGGGTATCGTGTACCCGTTTACGACCGTCTCTTCCCTGGAAGCCCTCGGGAGTAACGGGACGGGTGGATGTAGTCGAAGAGATTCTTTGATCACCATTTTTAGATACTTGAGGTGTTGGGTGTTGCCTTCGTCTATTGGTTCGGTTTCCTTAAACGCTTCTCTTACTTCAGCTTGTGCCTTTGCCATGACTCGAGGGTTCCTCATTAGCTCCGTCATTGTCCACTCGATTGCTGTCGATGACGTGTCGGTTCCAGCAGAAAACATGTCCTGGTACACACATAAACAGTTAACCGGTTATATTGTTTTAATTGTGTAATAACATGAGTTGGAGTTGGGGTGAATACTCACTTGAAGAACGGCTTTGATGTTGTTGTTTCCGATGGGGAATTCGAGCTCCCCGTTTTCTTGAATCCTCAAAAAGACATCAACCAAATCTTCATTACCATCATCGCCATTCCCCCGTTTTACAGCCGACTCTGCATTTTCGGTAGCCATTTTAGCCAGATTCGCCTTATGCTCGTCGATTATACTATCAAGAATCTCGTCAAGCTTGCGCCTCATCTTCAACAGTTTGAACCTACCCTTACTCAGGGCATTGATTATCTTCGAACCGGGAAACAGATCGGAGATCTCAAACCCGCTTGCCATTTCAATACCTTCCTTCAACAGCTTGATCAGCGCTTCGTTATCCTTGGACACCTTCCCGAACGCCGCCCGGCAGGTGATGGAGCTCATCAGCGAGAATATCTTGTCGGTCAGATTAATGGGTTCCCCGGAGGCGGCGCAGCGGCGGAGGGAATCGACCAGACCCGAAACCTCGTCCTTTCGGATCGAGGCAAACGACCGAACACTCTTGGGGCTCAGCAGCTCTATCACGCAGATCTTGCGCATCTGCCGCCAGTAGTTTCCGTAGGGGCTGAAGGCGATGTTGGTGTAGTCGTACCACATGATCTCGATCCCGACTGAGCGTGGCCTGTCGGCGAAACTCGGGTCGTGCTCTTTGAGCATCTGCTTCGCGATCTCCGGCGAAGAAACGACGATGGTGGACACCTGGCCGAGCTTCAAGTGCATTAGTGGACCGTACTTTTTCGACAGTTCCCTGAAAGAACGGAAAGGTAGCGCGGTGAGGTGGTGGAGGTCTCCGATTATGGGGAGGGGTGTAGGGCCAGGTGGCAGGTTTTTAACAGAGTCGGATTTCGATTTCCGCCATTTTCTTATTAGGAGAAGAATTACGGGCACGAAGAGCGCGAGAGTGGTGAAATTCCACGAAAACCCGAAATCCATATTTTCTAGAGAGAGAAAGAGATAGAGAGAGAGTTGGTGGTGTTATGGGGTTTGCATGGTGGAGGGATTTATAAGGTGATCTTGAAGGAGAAAATGATGAACTTGTGTGTACTTTTCTTCTTCTGGTATTTTGTACAAAATTGAAATTTCAGAGTCAAGCGTTTTAAGTACAAAAAGTCTCATTTAAGCTGCTTATGTGTCGTAATACTATTGGGCGGGATTAGTTACCTTCGGGGGAAATTCTATGCTACACCTGGTGAATATAACCAGACACCTTAATTAATAAAATTCCCACTACGGGTTCAATTTTGGCCCAATGGATTTTAGAAATATAATTATAAAATAAATAAAAAAGGACACATGTCAAGAAAAGAGCCACCCGGTGAAAATCACCGGGTGTAGCATCGTATTCCCCGCGTTTAAGTAGAAAGTCTCATTTAAGCTGCTTATGCGTCGTGATACTATTGGGCGGGATTAGTTACCTTTGGTTAATAATTGCATTTAAAATGAAGGCGGGTCAATATTACTGTTGGATAAAGAATCAAATTTTCTGTTGAAATAGATTAATATATTTTTTATTGTTATTAGTCTTCTAGTTTGAACTTTGAATAATAATAAATACATAGACAAAAGCATCATATTGGACCCGGAACCCTAATTTTGAGAGGAATATATATAGGAAAATATATATTGGTAGACAAAAAAACTCTCGTTTACTAGTTAATACAGAGAAAATATGGAACAAAAAAACCCTCAAAAGTGACAGATATTCTAGAACATAGAGATTATTCTTTTAAACGATGTATAGTCGTTTTCGGGAATTAATAATGTGTGTATTCTTTTTTGACTTTAGCATATTTTAAGAGTTGATAAGTTATTACATCTTATTTTTAGTATTAATTTTTAAAGTGTTTGGATAAATAACTTATTTGATATTTTTATTCATTATAAGATCTTAAATAAAAATGTTATTTGCTGGCCATCAGCTTATTTTTTTTAAATTAAGATCTTTTAAAAAAAAATTATCAAACACTTTGGAAGAGCTTATAAGCTCCTAAACATCTTATAACCTATTTTTAACATCCTATAAGCTTAGCCAAACACCCTATTAGATGTTAATGGATTCTAACTTTGATTTTGAATGTTGACTACTCTTTTTATTCAATTATAGGGTTTTTCTATAATGAAAACAATAAAGGGACTTTCTAAGTAATTCGAAATAACACATAGTTTTTGTATATATGTGTTCACACGCGGTCACGGGTCGGGTCCGGGGTCCTACTTTTTGGGATCTGCAACCGACCCGTGTGAAGGCGGATCCGGGTCCGGGTCAGGTCCACTCGGGTCCTTCCGGGTCCGAGTCGGCTTTGGATCCAAAACCGGTCTTTTAATTTTTTTTTTAATCTTGACCGTTGAAAAAAAAATTGAATTCAGTTAGACCGGGTCCGGGTCGGTTCCGGGTGGACCTGAGTTTCTAGCCGTTGAAAATTAAAAAAAATTGAATTTACGGACCGGGTCCGGGTCGGGTCCGGTTTATAGCCATTGCATTTTAAAAAAAAAAAAAATTTATTCGGGTGGACCCGACGGGTCCTCGGGTCCCCCCCGCCGGGTAGACCCGTCGGGTCTCGGGTCCAATAAATCAAGACCCGAAACCGTCCTATATAAAGTCGGGTCCGGGTCCGGGTTCAAGGGGTGCGGGTCGGTTCCGGGGCGTGGCGGGTCCCAATCCGGGTCGGGTCGGGTCGGGTCCAACACGGGCCGTGGCCATGTCTATATGTGTGTACATCAAATGGGATATAAGTAAGCGACGTCGATCGAGTCCGGGACTACATGAAGTTATGCTATAGAGTTGTAATAGATCTTTATGAAGCCTTCGATGCAGAGCAATCTCCATAACGAAGATTGTACGACGTTCATTTCCATATGAAAGAAAGCCGAGGTTTCAATTATGCACGGTTGGTCGACAGATGCGCTTATCTAGAGAGAGTGGTGAAGACTCATATCGTAGCATTACTCATTGATTCTTTCCAAAATCTAGACTCTGCTATAATAATATATCGGAGTAAATTACAAAAAACCCCTAAACTTTGATTAAATTACAAAAACCATCTCCATCTATTTGTAATTATCAAAAAACCTATGAGATTTGTTTCCGTCTTACACCAACCCTTACAGTGTGACTTTTCACGGAGATTGTACACATTTTCTGTTAAAGAATTCGATCAACAGTTGATCAGAGGGGGATTTTGGTTATTACGGATAAGTGGGGGGTATTTGTCATTATTTAGCCTAAGTTCCGGGCAATTTTCATAATTTACCCAATATATAGGAGGTAGTTGATTAACAACTTTAATTTGTGTTACGTTTCACAATTAAGATAATAAATTGTTATAATTTTAGTAAATAAAAATTCCGTCGTTAAATCCCACGAAAACTAGGATACGACAGTGAAGTTCGTCTCTGTTAAACTCTGACTTGCATAAGGAAATAAGTTAACAATCGAAATGAAAAATCCAGTAGAAAATTGATACATACATTCATCAACAAACAAACACATCCAATTCCGGATTCTGCGTTCTGGCCGCCGTGATTGCCAGCTGCTCAGTCATATCCAAGTTGTTGGAGCTCATTCCGGCGGGCAATTTTCAGTGAAAATTGTAAGGCTCTGATTGGTTCATGAATTTCAAAATAAGGAAAATGAAAATGTAAAGGAAAAGAAAATCAATGACTTTTGAAATTCCAGTTGTGTTTGGTTCCTAAGTAAAATGGTGATGAAAATGACTTTGTGCAAAATTATTTTCCTTACTTTTGTTTGGTTTCTAGGAAAAAAAGTGAAAATAACAATGAATTATTAAATGGAGTAATTTTATTTTCTATCAAAACCGTAAAAGAATGTTATGTTAGAAAAAAAGAACTGTGAATATGATTCTATTTTAATAATTTACTGTTATGATGTGTGTGAGAGAAAAAAAGGAGAGAGGAAAGAAAAGAGGGAGAGAGACGAGAGAGAATAGATAGATTGGAGAGAGAGATGAGAAAAAAAAAGAAAAAAAGGGAGAGAGGAGAGAAGAAGAAAATTACATGGCATTTTTCTCACTTTTTTTTTTTGAGGAAAATGCATTTTCCTAATTTTATTGTAATTTTTTTTTTCCAGTTTTCCTCTTTACCTTGCAACCAAACATGAAAATTAATTTACCTAATAATTTCAACTTCTTACTCATCATTTTCCTTGAACCAATCAGAGCCTTAAGAAGGTAAGCTAACAACAACTCAAAACTCGCTAAACCAAAAGTCATTTCACGCGCATTCTTCTTCCACCACAAACGAAATATACTCAAATTCGTTTCCCGTGAAATCTTTCGGGTCATTTTCGAATCTCGGGTCGGCCCAAATATCCGGATCTCTGCCCATGGCCCACGCATTCACCAGCACTTTGGCTCCGATTGGGATGATATACCCTTCGATTTCGGTATCCTCTCGTGAAACGCGTGGGATTAACGGAATCAGCGCGTGGAGCCTGAATCCTACCTTAGGTATTTCAGTTTCTGAGCATCGGATTCTCCGAATTTTGGATATTGTATTTAGTACCCCTTTCTTATATCGAAATTCTAAAAACCCCCACGTATTATTTTATATGGACAATAACCCCCTTATAATGCATTTTTGCAGCACAATTAGCACGAGTGCAGGTCATTTTAGACTGAAAATAAGCCTGAGATCGTGTAAACTATTTTCAACTATTTTCGTGTAAACCCATTTCAACACGCCACAAATAATTGAATTCAGGTGCGATCGTGTAAACTATTTTCGTTCAAGCGGCAATCCACAAAAATTGAAAAAAAAAAATAGGCAGTAAAATGTTCAACACAGACAAATGTTCAAACCAAAAAAAAAAGAAAGAAAAAAAAAGGCCATTTAAACAACTGATACGATGATCATTCCGAACAAACATTCATTAAGACATGAAAATTAAAATAAACCAGCATACAACTTCCGTTATTTCTGTGAAATTACACATCGATCATTTGACAGGCGGTGGAAGTGGTCGTTTAATAACCGGAACAACAAACAAATCACCGTTTCTCCTGGCTGTGATCCCAAATGATTCCGACATATCCATTTCTTCATGTTTCATTCCAGGTGGCAACTTCCAATCGAAATGGTATAGAAACATAGCCAGTGGTAGCTCCACATTTGCCAGACCGAACGCCATTCCAGGGCATATTCTCCTACCAGCACCAAACGGGATATACTCGAAATGATTACCCTTGTAATCAACCTCCAAATCCTCATCGAGAAACCTCTCCGGTTCAAAGCAATCCGGGTTACGCCAGTATTTAGGGTCTCTGTTAATAGCCCATGCATTCACGATGATTTTAGTATCGACCGGTATCTCGTATCCGTCGATCTCGCATTTCTCTCTGCATTTCCTTGGAAGTAATAGAGGTAGTGGTAGGTGAAGCCTCAGAGTCTCTTTGATAATTGACATTAAATATTTCAATTCGTGAATTCTCGATTCATCAACATATCCTCCTTTGTCGTCGAAAAATCGTCTCACCTCATCTTGCGCCTTTTCCAGGATTCTTGGATTTCTTAGCATTTCCGCCATTGCCCAATCCACCGTTGTTGCTGATGTCTCACCCCCACCACCCAGCATATCCTGATCGATTAAGCTCCAGACGATTAACTCGTATCGAATTACTTTTAATTTAATCATTTATCATTTTCCATAGACTAGAACTTGACATGTACATAATTTTTTTTTTTTTTATTTGATGTCAATTATATAATGAGCTTATTTATTGCATCTACTACCCCTTTGAAAATTGCTACTGCACGTTTTCTCCTATCATAAAAAAATGGATAAATTACAACCATTCCTGAGGTATGGTTAATTTACGAAAACCCCCCTCTTATTTGGATAATTACATCTACCCCTTAACTATGATTTTTTTTACACTTCCACACTTATGGTGCCAAATTCAACACAATCATCTAGATTTCGTGGAATGTGCTATAGTTTGTACTCGTTATGTGTAAACATGCAGTTTCTGATGCACCACAATTTGATATATACATGCAAAAAAACACATATTATGATCATCTTGCTTCAAAATGTGAAGTTCAAATGAGATAAAACGGATACAAAAGTAATAATATTCCATATAATCTCGAAGATTCCACTAAATTTGAAACCGCAAGGGTGGACATGTAAAAATATTTATAGTTGACGGGTGGTTGTAATTACCCAAACAGGAGGGGGGTTTTCGTAATTTAACCATACCTCAGGGGTGGTTGTAATTTACCCTAAAAAAATTAGCAAATACCCCATGTATTTTTATTTGTAAATAGCATAGTCGTCCCATTTAAATTTTCTCCATTGACAGGTTGTAAAAGGACCGAAATTGAAGTTTTGAAAAACTTAATCAAATAAATCAGGGGACTGAATTGTAATTTTCTAAAAATTACATATAATATTTATCATTATTTCATCGGGTCCAGCGATGTTGTTGTAGACGTATGAGGGGATTATAACTGGAGTGGGGATGGGCCGAGGTTTGGACTCGCTTCGAAAGATAAGGGTGAGTTTTGTTTATTTATTTATTCTTTGATGGGGGCATTTGGCAATTAGAGATTTCACGGGGGTGGTGTTTGCAATTAACTCATAGAAAAATATGAAAGGGGAGAAGAAAACTAACCAAGATAACAGCTTTAATGTTTTCAGTGGTCAACGGAATCTGAATTCCATCATCCTGGAATCTGAGAAGAACATCAACCAGGTCATCATCTCCTTGCTTCTTCTTCTCGCTGACGTCATCATAAACAATATTTGTTTTTTTTTCCTTTTTCCATGTGCGAAATTGCCCCTCCATTGTCACGTGCAAATGGAAGTGTGCAACTGAGGGAATATTTTGGCCAAAAAATGGTTTTTTAAGTCATTGGTGCAACAAATTAGTAAGTTCATGCATGACAATGCAATTCTTTTATTCTGGAGGGCCAAAGTGCAAAAACGACCTAAATTCGGTGGCAAAGTGATGGAGCTATTAGCACCCCCTTTGTTATTCTGATAGATAAAAATAGAGCTAATAGCACACACCCCCCTGTGTTATTTCTAATTGGCGGAAAAGTCCCTATGATAAAAAAATTACCAAGAAACCCCCTATGTTGTGTTAAATATAGCACACAACCCCATAATTCATATTTTACAGTTGACTTAAAGAAAATGACAAAAATACCCTTACCAAAGGGAAAGGGGAAGAGAGAAAAAGAAAAAAAAAAATTAAAAAATTATGAAATGTGATGACTGATGAAAAGCAAGCAACAAACCTTCAACAAACCATGTCCTGTGATTTGGCTGCTCCATTAACTGTGAGTTTTCAAGCTTCCAAAATCATGAAACATCTCTTTCTCTATTCTCTCAAGAAAGTCCACAAAGTGAATTTAAGCTATCAGTTGGTGACTAGACTCAAAATAAAGGTTGAAAGCATCGTCCAACATCGCCGCCGACCGCCTTTCGCCACCGGATTTCCGCCATCATCAAACCACCATCAAAATCCCATCACCTCACCTTCCCTCCGTTCGTTGAAACAAGAACCAATCAACTAATTAAAGATAGTTCATTTATTTTGTTTTATTTTTGTATTCAAATCGAATGTCAACCTAAAACATGGAAATGGATTGTGAACTCCCAAAACAATAAAATTATGTTGTTCTAATCGAATTAAATTATATCTGGGGAAGGTGTTGTATTTTGTTTCTGGAATCGTGGGGTTTGTGGGTGGCTTGAAGAATGGAGAAGGGCTGGTGTAATCGACGGAGATGGAGTAGTCGAGCTTCTACCTGTACGGCAAAAGGTCTCAGCAGCTCCCTCCAGAAATTGGGCTCCGGCTTCTCCTCCTCCAATTAGTGCGTGAACATGGTGGTGGGTTCGAAACAATTGGGAATGAGATGATTTGGAGAGATGGTGTTTTTGAAATTGTCAGGGACTGAATCGAAAATTATGAAAATTTCATTTTGGTTCATACAAATTTCAGGATGAATATGTAATTTTTGAAAAAATGATTAAAGGGTATTTGTGGCTTTTCAGGTCAAAAAACACACCGCCAATCGCTCAACCCACGCGTGCAGCACACGGAAAGCATTCAGGGGGGTTTTTGGCTTTGACTATCTTTTATAGGGGGGTATTTGCCAATTATTTTAACACAGGGACTTTTACGACAATTAGAGTTTACACAAGGTTAGTTTTTGCAAAAAACCCGATAAAAATACCCTCATGATAAAACAATTAATACATACCCCCTATGTTTTGTTTTATATTGCACGCGGCCTCTTATATCGAAATTTTTTTGTGGACTTAGATGAAAAGACAAAATTAGTCATAAATATTTTTAATCAAAAACCACAAAAAAAAAAGTATAAAATATAAATAAACTTAAAAAAAAGGAAAAGAAAAAACACAATTTGCTCGACATCAGGCATCTTCTTCCCACCATTTTTCTTTACTTCCGAAGCATGTTCGTTCATCGTTCTTCATAAAAATTCAAATATTTTGGCGACAAGGAGCCGTTACTGCTGGAGGAGGTGAATGAGGGTGTAGAGGAACGCCCTGATCTTGATGTTGATCAACAGGGCTTTTCTGGAAATATAAAGGACTGAATTGAAAATCTCATAAACTTCATTTTGGTGCTTGTAAAAACTCTGGGGTGAATTTATAATTTTGGAAATTTATAACTCAAAGGGTATTTGGGTCATTTCATATCAAACAACACACTCTCAGTTGCATATAAGGCTAGTGCTCGAATGGGTCGCATGGACTTTATTGATTTTGACTAAATTTTATAGGGGATCTATGCTAATTTTTTTAATACATGGATTTTTTCGGCAATTAAAGATTAACACGTGAGTGGTAGTGCTAAAACCCCTTATTTTATGATTAGCCATTAATTAGATGCTCTTTCAGTGGAAATTAATAAAATATGATGATGCTGGAATCACTTATTATATTGATAATGGACGGCTGATTAATTATAATTAATTCAAGTTAATTGATCTAATAATTAATGATTAATCATAACAATAATTAAATCAAGTTAATTGATCTTGACAGAAAGAGAAATGTGCAGCTCATGTGGATTTTATTTAGGGGCTTAAAACATAGGTCCCTAGTGACAAAACTTATTAAAACTAAATGACAAGTCCGACTAAACATATGTTACAAGTTCTTTATAAAATTCATTTCAAAACTGCCCTTCCAGACAAAAAAAAATAAAAAAATTGGCTTTAGTAATTTTTCATTTGGGTTTAGCATTTTGTTATTGCATATATCATTTTCCGCTGAATTTTGTTTTTTGCGAAAAAAAATGGATTTTTTTGTTATTACATGAAATCTTATTTTTTTTTTTTTCATTTTAGCAATTTTCACACTATTGTAAAACTTTATTTTTTATGTATAATATTTAAAATTACGAAACACCATGTTTTTTAATTTTTTAATTTAATTTATATCTTTAATAATTTTTTTTTTAATTTTATCTTCTCTCAAAAATTTAGTATATGAAGTCGATCACGGTTCAACTGTAGTCATCTATAATCACTCATAGTCATTATCATCACTTGTAGACATCTATAGTCACCCGTAGACCCGTAGTCATATCATCATCTGTAGACATCTAAAGCACAAATCCCACTTTACGGCACACCCTCTTACCCTCTGTTCATATATAGCATATGGTCAATGTACTAGACTATAGTATACTATGATTTACTATGCATAACCCTAGTAGGCAAACAACTCCTGATAGCCGTCAAACTCTATCCACGAAATCCTAGGCACCAATTGTCCCCTCACTGTGCAAGAAATCCCAAAACACCAAACTGCCGCCGTCAAGAGGGAAGTAACAATCCAACAATAAAACAAACCCAACAACATATTCACTGATCAAAATCATACACAACTATGGTCAGAAGATAGGAATTCAACAGTGGTCAAACCGTCCAATTCCGATCACCGAATCTATAGTTACGCCTCCGAGAAACCAAGAATGCAAAATTTCATCCAACGCATGGTAGAAAGAACACAATAACAACTCCATGGATCAAAATCTAACGAAATCATGACCAGAATATGGAGCACGAAAGACGAATCCAACGGCGGTGAAATCATCTAATTCTGATCACCAGATCTACAGTTACATCTCTGAGAAACCAATGCAGATCCAAATTAGGGGTAAAATATAAAAAGAAAAAAAATAATAAAAACCCTTATTAAAAGAACAATTGCAGAAGCTTGGTTTCATGATGTCCGGTGATAAACATCGGGTGGTTCTTCTGCTGCCACGTTTTCCTTTTTTTATTTTTCTAAAACCCCTAATGGTAAACCTTAGCGGATAATATATTATAAAATACAAAAAAGATACACGTGGCAACAAAAGACTCACCCGGTGTTTATCACCGGGTGTAGGGTTGAACAAATCAGAAACCCGTGGTAGGGAGGCGGAAAAGAGAGAATGAGAAAAGGAGAAATGAGAGAAGAGAGAGAAACGTAGGTTTTTAATTAGTCTAAGGGTATTTTCGGGTAAAACAAAAATAAAAGGATGTTGATCAAATTTTGTTTATAAATAAGGATTTAGTTATAATGTTCAATTAGAGGTTGTGTCTAACATCTAATTAGATTTAGTTTGAGGGGTGTCTCGAATATTAACCCTTTTATTTAATCTTCCTCGAGGCTGATATTTAAATGAATTTTCTTGGTATCAGATATCTTCGCGCCATCCCATTAATAGCTGAAAACTTCGCGCGCCATGCACGTTGTTTTAAGTATATTATATTTGACGGCCTAACAGTTAGAGCAAGTGAGTATGTGTCAATTAAGATAAAGATCCAAATTTTTATTTTAATTAATTTTGAATTCGGACAAGTTTCAAATTTAGTCCAATTAGGTCCTTTGAAATTTTTAATTTTACCTCATATGATATTTTTAGATGAAAAAAAACCATGCACTAGTCATGTGCTTTGCTCGTGCGTATAAATTTGTGAAGATTCGCCTGAATATAGAAACCCTAGGTACTTAAGTGAGTCAAAATTACGACTTTAGGTGTGTACGTGCAAAGTACAGATGGTAAAATGCTACTAACCCTATTCTAACAAAATATTACAATAAATTGGTGAAAACTAGCAACAAACCAAAAAAAAAAAAACGAAGGGCAAATTGTACTTCATCCCCTATAGAATTCTTATTTTCGCACTTTACCTCCTCAAAGTTTTAAAAAGTAAATGGTCCCTTCAAAATGTTAAAATTGTTGCACATTGCTCCCATAGCAAAATAACGATGCATTATTTCATCAGAATTGAGTGGTTTTGTTGCACGTTACCGTTTTAATTGTTATTTTTGTTGCTCGGTGCCTACCGCAAATTTGGCGTTGGGGCAAAGTTAAACCAGAACAATATTTCGGATGGGATCATCAGTTTTTTAAATTTTTATGTGGGAAGTGCGAAAATGAAAAAAAAATAAAAAAATAGTGATACTAAACCGTGAATTGTGAGTTTTTGTTACCGTGCAATAATTGAACTCCAAACTATATATTAAAATGGAGTAATTAAAACGAGTATTAGGTAGCTTATACAGTCCAAAATGTTAGATATTTAAAAAAAAAACTGTAGATCAGATCATAGCCCTTCAAGAACCATTATAAATATTTATCTTAATTATTAGGTTAAATATACACTCATATCTGGGCTCAGTCGCTCAGTCTAACGAGCAGATTGAATCACAATATATAATTATTAAGAGTAAATGACAAATAGGTCCATGACAAGGGCACTTAATTAAAAGAAGGACATCCAACTTTTTTGTCTTTCAAATAAATCCAACCCATTCAAACTTATTTGCAAATAAGGAAAATCCTTTTATATATACCAAAATTATCCTCAATTCATTGAAACCCAATTCAACTTCAATTTCATGATTTACACCTCAATTTAGCCCAATTTCATCAATTAACCAATTTTAACCCTAATTTCAATTTTGACCCGCCACCACCGGAGACCGCCGGTCTCCGGCGTTGACATTTTTTTTTTGAAAAACTTTTTTTTTTCGTGAAATTTTTTTCCGACCGGTCAACTACCGTTGACCGCCGGGTCTCCGGCGTTGACTTTTTTTTTTTTTTTTTAAATTTTGTTTTTTCTTAAAAAAATATTTTAATTAATATTACTGTCATGGCTGCTAAATTACTGTCTCCGGCAGTTATTTAACTGTCGGAGACAGTAAATTAACTGTTCATTGATTTTTTTTTTCCTTAAAAAATATTTTAATTAATATTACTGTATTCGTTGCTAATTACTGTCTCCAGCAGTTATTTAACTGCCGGATACAGTAATTTAACTGTTAATTGACTTTTTTATTCTTAAAAAAAAATATTTTTAATTAATATTACTGTATGTGTTGCTAAATTATTGTGTCCAGCAGTTATTTAACTGTCGGAGACAGTGACACTAATTTAACAGTCGGAGACAGTAATTTAACTGGTAATTGACTTTTTTATTCTGAAATAAATATTTTTAATTAATATTACTGTATTCGTTGCTAAATTACTGTCTCCAGCAATTATTTAACTGTCGGAGACAGTAATTTAACTATTAATTGACTTTTAAACAAAAAAAAAACATTTCTTAAAAAAAATTATTTTAATTATAATTACTGCCTTGGCTGCTAAATTACTGTCTCCAACAGTAATTTAACTGTCTTAGACAATAATATTAATCATATTACTGTTCGGAAAAATAATATTCATAATATTATTGTCCCAAACAGTAATATTACTGTATGAGATAGTAATTTAATAGCCAAAACAGTAATATTAATTAAAATATTTTTTTTCTAAGAAAAAAAACAAATTAAAAAAAGTAAAAAAAAATTCAACGCCGGAGACCAGCGGTCAACGGTGGTTGGGAAAAAAAGTTCAGGAAAAAAAAAAAAAAAAAAAAAAAAATCAACGCCGGAAAAAAAAACATTTCAGAAAAAAAATTATTTTTTGAAAAACAAAAATTGGGGGTTAATGTGATATATTTGATTAAAACCGAGGTCAATGTTAAGGAAGTTAGAACATAATGGATGGATTGATAAAAATTATATTATGGAGGCTATTTTAGACTAAAGACATGGGAATGGATTTAATTGAGAGATTGTTTTTTTTGTGGACCAAAATGTATTTAAGACCCATATGATGAGCCTTTTTGCCATTCGCCCAATTATTAATTAATATTCTCCATCAAACATGGGAATCGGGGCGAAAAATTTCGACTTTTGTGCAACAACCAAATATTGAATTATAACTAGTTGATAAAATTTTAATATTTTATTATATCGGTGGAGCAAATTGTCATTAGTTAATGTGATGGCGCGGAAAATTTAGCATATAAATTGCAAGTAAAAATCATTAAAATATGAGAGTCTCGAGGCAGATAATTATAAATAAAATAAAATCACATGTCAATTGTTAATGCCAAGAAAAAATCATTAAAAAATTAGCCTCGAGGAAGACGATTAATAACATAAAGGATAAATTACAAACACCCTTTAATTATGATTAAAAAATTAGCCTCGAGGTATGGTCAATTTATGAAAAAACTCCTCTTGTTTGGATAATTACATCTACCCTTTTAATTATGATTTTTTCTTGCACCTCCATCCTTATGGTGTCAAATCCAACATAATCATCTAGATTCTGTGAAATGTGCTCTAGTCTGTACTCGTTTTGTATAAAAATACAGTTTTTTTATGCACCACAATCTGATATATACAAACCATCTTGCTTCAAAACGTAGAGTTCCAATAAGATAAAAGGGTACAAAAGTGATAATATTCTATATAATCTCGAAGATTCTACTAAATTTGATGAGTTGAGGGGGTGGTTGTAATTATCCAAACAAGAGGGGGGGTTTCGTAATTTAACCATACCCCAGGGGTGGTTGTAATTTACCCTAAAATAAAATATAATACACACGAGCTCTACATTTTCGGTAATTCGTCACGACCAATTAACACTAGTAAAAAAATAATTTTTTACTACGACCATTAATCGTAGCAAAATGTATCAAATTCATAGTAAAAAAGCTTTATTTACTACGCATTTGCTACGGATTTGTTCCGTAGCATATACGGGCGTGACAAAAACTTTGCTACGGTAAATAACCGTACCAAATATTTTTTTTACCACGGTAAATTCTAGTATTTACTATGACTTCAAAATTGTTCCTTTGTAAAAAGTACCTTTTATTACGGCTTTTTACTGTAGCAAACAATTTCGTTTTAAAAAAAAAAATTCTAATATTGTAACTTCAATTGTAGTTATTATTTTATGACTATATAGTCTCTTTCCATGGAAATTGTGAGTTAATTATATTCTAACAAAACCGAACAAACATTTAAATTCCAATGAACTTAATAATTTCTAAATAAAAAAAATTAATAATTAACTAAAGGGGTCAATTATATTATTTTTTGTGCAAGAATTATATCTGAATTATTTGAAATGAGTTATAGTGGGATTGGAACTCAGAATTTTTTATTTAAAATGCCTCCAATACCATATTTACTGACCACCTAATAATTCATTGTAAGTTTTTAGTTTCGGATGGAAATAATTAATAATTCATTGTAATTTTTTCCTTTGTTTGAATCATAATGCGACAAGGTGATAGTATTGTTTATTGACTGACCAAGTCTGAAAAAATTGTATCAGCTATCTATTACTTTAATTTTTAAGTCACCTTCGTGTGTGTATATATATATATATTCTCTTGAAAAGTAACTAATTGGGCAAATAACACTTCAACCCCGGAAAAAATGAATTATTCGCACTAATATACCCTGGCGTAATTAATTCTTTTTAAATACGTGATCTAGAAAAATCTTTGAGATCACGATATATCGGCATATTCCATAACCGTCTCATCCCTCTCCACCATTGTGTTAATTTTGGCACCATTTCAAGTCACGCACGGAGATTTATATGTGATTCGGTTCAGAGAATCTGCGATTGCAATTGAAGAAGACGAGTTTTTTTGTTGTTTTTGTTTGCAATCCACTTTTTTTAGCGCGGATTCGATGCATTTAATTTGAATTCATATGTATGCAGATTTTTTTTAATTGAAGAAAGTTGTTCGTAACTGAATTCATCTAGATTCATACGTGATTCGTTTTCAGAGGATCGAAGCTACTGTAATTGAACAAGGTGAGTTTTTTGTTGTTTTTGTTAGCAATCAATTTTTTTTGTGAATGTAGAATCGATGTATTAAATTGGATTTGATTTGTATGCGAATTATTTTCTAATTGCATGAAGTTGTTTGTAATTGAATTTTGTTAGTTTGTCAGTTAAGAGAGTGATAGATACATACTTAATTCTGTTAGTATTTACGGAAAATTAACAGAAATTGCCAAACATGTTAAATTATTGAAACACGAGGGACTAAATCTGATTTTGGTGAATATAGATAGGGTTAAATGGTGAGAATTAGACAAATTGAAGTAAGAGACATGAAGTTGAAGATAGGGGAAGCAAATCGCGTTGCTGCCATTTTTGGTGTGTGTGTGTTTCTTTTATGGTGGTGGTGGTTGCCTGGATACTGGGCGGAGTTTAGGGTGCAACTGTTGGCGGAGTTGGAAGTGTGGTTTGGTGGTTTCTGGTGGCGGAGTGGTGGGTTGGCGAAATTGCAACCAAGTCCCTAATTTAAGTTTGAGGAATTTAGCATAATTTTCAATTTGGCCTCTCAGTTATTTTTGCATTCAATTTGGCCTCGATTTTATGTTATTGTAATTTTATATTATTTTATCGAAGGATACATTTCTCATCTTACCTTTGGTCAAAGACTAAAATCACAATGGGTCTAATATGCTATTTAGAAAAATTATCAGGGGATCTTTTTACTAGTTTATTTATCATGGGTTTTTTTTTGCTATTTTGATATTACACAGGCATACTTTTTGGAGTTTACTCATTGTATTTAATACCCCTGAATTATATCGAATCTCTAAAAAGCCCCACATATTTATTTTATATTGACCATAACCTCCTTATGATGCATTTTGTTTTGTTAGCGAAATTCAAACAATGTTACAAATTGGGGACGTCATAGGGGAGAAGCAAGATTCGAACCGTAGACCTCTACTCTAGCCATAGATGCTATGAACTACAAACATAATGCATTTTGAACATGGCATAAATAATTGTGTTCAGATGCTATTAAGTATTAAGTATTAACCAATGTTTTTATTCATAAATAACTCAATTAAATATACATGTCAACACACATACAAACATTGAATTATGTTAATTTAATAACTAACAGTAAATGATTATTCTGAATAAACTTTCATTAAGCCACATGTAAATTAAAATAAAACCAACAACTTCAATTACGACGCATCGATCATTTGACAGGCGGCGGGAGTGGTCGTTTAATAACCGAAACAACAAACAAATCACCGTTTCTCCTGGCTGTGGCCCCAAACGATTCCGACATATCCATTTCTTCATGTTTCATTCCAGGTGGCAACTTCCAATCGAAATGGTATAGAAACATAGCCAGTGGTAGCTCCACATTTGCCATACCGAACGCCATGCCAGGGCATATTCTCCTACCGGCACCAAACGGGATATACTCGAAATGATTACCCTTGTAATCAACTCCCAAATTATCATCGAGAAATCTCTCGGGCTCAAAGCAATCCGGGTTACGCCAGTACTTAGGGTCTCTGTTAATAGCCCACGCATTTACGATGATTTTAGTATCCACCGGTATCTCGTATCCATTAATCTCGCACTTCTCTCTGCATTTTCTTGGAAGCAACAGAGGAAATGGCGCATGAATCCTCAGGGTTTCTTTGATAATTGACATTAAATACTTCAGTTCGTGAATTCTCGATTCATCAACATATCCTCCTTTATCGTCGAAAAATCGTCTCACCTCGTCTTGCGCCTTTTTCAAGATTCTTGGATTTTTTACCATTTCCGCCATTGCCCAGTCCAACGTTGTGGCTGATGTCTCACTCCCACCACCCAACATATCCTGATTAATCAAGTACATATATTAAGTGAAAATAATAATTCCTTTTGATGTTACTATGCAACATTTGTTGGAACCACGGTTGTAATTTGATGATTGATCATGAAACTTGTGGATTGAGACTTGTACTCCATTTGTTCTCTAATTTTATATGTAACAAGTTGCTGAAATAATATACACAATAATATGGAGATAGGCAAGGTAAAGCTGGAAAAAACGATGAGAAGAAAACTGACCGTGATTACAGCTTTAATGTTTTCATTTGTCAACGGAATCTCAATCCCTTCATCCTGGAATCTCAGAAGAACATCCACCAGGTCGTCATCTCCTTGCTTCTTCTCCCTCTCACCGGTCATCGTCTTGGTAGCCGCATTATTATCATTGGCTACTCTGTGCTCATGGATGATCACTACTAGAAAATCACGAATTAGCGACGGAATATAGAGACGAACTGTTGTTCCGTTGCCAAATTGACTGTTTAGCGATAAATTTAGCAACGGAACATAATAAAGTCACTTACTACAAAAAAAATAGTTGTAGCGACAACAATTAGCAACAGATAAAATATCCGTAGCTAATGTAAATACTTAGCAACTGATATAGCGACGAACAACAAAAATATTACTAAATCAATAATTTTTAACATTTATTAGAGAGGGACAATGTACCAGTATTTAATTATCAAACAAATATTTAATAACTACAATAAACAGTGATTGACAAAAGTAATAATAAATTAAATAATACAGGTGAAATTAACTCGTATGTTTTTTCATAAACTACAGAATTTGAAATAAATTTAATTATACTACTAAGTTGTGAATATATAAAAAACAAATGTTAAGATAGTATCAAATCTTTAAAAACAAAATTAATGATCTAAAATCAATTATGAAGACACTATAAATTAATAACCGAAAGTAATATATTAAGAAAATCTATAATTACTACACTTTTTTTCCCTTTGTCCCGCTGCTTGCATTTTTTATTTTTTATTATCTTATTCAGTGCAAAGACCTAAAACCTTGAACCACCGCCACAGCCGACCTTATCACCTCTGCCACCAGCCGATCCTCTCACCTCCGCTACCACCAGTGCGTAACCATTTCTGCAACGAAAGAAAAACCCTTCTCTCTGTCGCGTATTGGCATCGCAAAAACGTCGAACAAACTGCCAATTTTACATAAGAATTTTTGAATTGAAATTTTCACAAAATTCTCTACACTCCGTTTTTTCCGATCTAAAATCTTATGGGTACCGACATTATAGATATTAGCTTCAATTTGTGTTGGGTGTTAAAGATTTGATGAAGGAGTTTCGGAAGAGGAGATAATTTATTCATAGCACCCTGGGAGTGGTTTTATATTTGATTTGATCTCTACAGGTAAGGGTGAATATTTCAGCATTAAAAAAATTATCGATCTACTGTGTAAATCTTAAGTGATTCGTTTGGATGAATTGTTTATTCCCTTTCAATTGCCCATGGGTACCTCAAAAAACGGAACTGACCATGCCAGTGGTAGGTATATTATCGTCGGAATTCTAATTGTTGGGAACTTGAAGAGTCATATTTGAAGTTTTTGTGTGCTTTCATTCTCAGGCTGCAAATGGACTGGAAAATATCGTGATTTACCTATAGCATATGAATTTTTGCTCAAGCTTATATTTTGTATGAAGAAGAATTTGTGGTAAACTCTACAACTTCCTTTTATTCATAGGGGTCTACATAGTACCAAATAAATTTGTTAGTTGGTTTCACATATTATTTTTGCACTCATTCGTGAGTTACTTATTTGCAGGATTCAAGATCTCTAAGTGACTTCCATTTACCCAATAAGAGGTACACTTCAGAGGATGCATATATATTTACATTTGAGAATGGAGATGCATTAAAGTGACTTATCATTTATTAACTTTCCTACTTTTAAGTATTTTGCAGTGTTGCCGAAGAAGATGCAGAACCATTGTAGAGATGTTTATGGTTGCTCACATTTGTTCTGGTTTAGTGATCACAACAATATCATAGATGGAGGGATGTGTGGTATAATAATTTTGGTAATTGTAGAAGACCATAGATTACTCATTGATATTTATTGAAAATAGTATACCCTCCACATCCATTCAGCATTCATAATTGATTATTTCTCAATCTTATCAACTCAATCTTATGTTTAACCAGTAAATCTTGAACATGGTTATGCTTGAAAGAACAGTTAGTGTCGTAACGAGCAGGCAATGGTGATTTGCGGGAGAAATGTTTGGACTTGAAAAGTATCCAATCAAGTTTCCTCTTCTTTTCCTTCTCTCGTTAATTCTTTTTGTTGACATTTTAACCACTGGAAATCTAATTTAGTCGTTCTTCTCGCAGGTTTAACGTTCTAGCTTGCACCTAATTGTTTTAAAAAACTATTGGAGGTATCTTATAAATTAACCACTTTATTTAACACTTACATGCCTTTATGTTTAGTTTTTATTCCCAGAGGTGAATGCATCTTTGCTCAAAAGTGAAATTTCTTCATTAGCTTTTCGAAATAATATTCATATATGCGAAGTCATTCATTTGATCAGATACGATATTTTTTTTGTTTGGTTATGTGTTTAAAAATCATTTTGTATACAATTCAGTTTGTGTTATGTATATTTATTACTTTGTGTTGTTTCAGGTAACTATAAGATTATCATCAATAGAGTTATTGTTAAGATTATCCTGATAGACAAGTTGATGGAGAAGGAAATGGAGATGCATGAATAGAAGAACAAGATGAAAGGTGACTAGGGATATGTCTTGATTGTCGTTCTTATTCCGTACTCTTGTAGGATAGAATTAACATTTATTATTTTTCTTTATGTTCAAATGTTTTGAACACTTCACTGTAATCTGTAATGAGAAGTTGAGATAATAAATAAACATCATTATTGTATTTAAATAAAAATGTTTATATATTTATTATTTTTGTTTTTAATTTATAATTTTTTTTATTTAATTGACTATTGTTTTTGCAACAGATTTAGCAATGGATGTATGCCTTTCTAATTAAAATACTTGTTTCAAATAGTGACGGAGTTAGTGATGGAATATCTTATCATAATCAATTGAATTTAGCGACGTCATTGTTGGTCGTTAGCGACAGATTATTTCGACGCTACATATAGCGACGGATTATACTTAGTTGTAGCTAAATTTTAGCGACGCGGCTTTTATCTACGGATTTAGCAAGGCACGACATCCGTCGCTAAACATGTGTTAGCGACAGATTTACGTAGTTTAGCGACGAATTTGTCCGTAGCTAAAAGGCAATTTTCTAGTAGTGGATGTCATCAAGTATGCAATCAGCTTCTTCATGCAGCTTCTTAACCTTCCTCCTCAACCCGCTCATCATTTGAAGCAACTTGATCGAAGGATAAACGTCTGCAACGTTAAATCCCGCCGCCAGTACGACAGCTTCTTTGATTATGGATAGTAGCCTCTCATTTTTAACCGCGTAGTTCTTGCCGAACGTTGCCCTTGAAGCCAGAGAATATCCACAAGAGTAGAGTTTCTCGGTCAAATTCACAGGCGCCGCTCGTTCCGTACAATTAGCTAATAACCACCTTGTGAGATCTAGAAACACTTCTTCTCTTATCGAACGGAAAGACGAAACACGCTTCATGCTCAACAGCTCCAACGTGCATATTTTCCTCAGCTGCCTCCAGTAATCACCGTACTCGGCAAACGCGATGCTCGTGCAGCTATAACTGAGAATCTCGGTGACGATAACCGACGGCCTCGATGCAAAGTTCATATCATGAGTTTTCATAACTTGCTTCGCGGCGTCGGATGAGGAAATTATAACCGTGGAGAGTTCGCCGAGCTGAAGGTGCATCACGGGGCCGTATTTCAGGGCCAGTTCGTGCAGAGCGCGATGGGGAAGAGAGCCAATCAGATTGTGCATATTCCCTATCAAAGGCAACTTCCTTGGCCCCGGAGGTAGGTTTGGAGTTGGTTTTCGGGTTCCGAGTTTGAAGAAGAAGATGCAGATGGGTATGAAGAAGACAAGAATCGTCAACACGAGATTCATCATGCTAAAGCAAGTTGATATTTATTTATTTATTTTTCGTTTTCGTTTTCTTTTGTGGATATATATATGATGATGATCTTTTCTGTGAGGGTTTTATAGCGTTTGGCAGAATTTCAACGCTAATTATGCTACCAGATTAATACCAGAGCTAGCTAGCATAGAAGAAAAGAAAATTAATTAAATGACAAATAAACCACTAGTTCGGCAGCAAACCCTAGTATAAAAAAAGAAATTTAATTAATTAAGCAATGCTATAAACATAATTAATACACTGGTATTAAGTATTAACTATACACACAACTAGTTAATGCATTTCAATAATAGAACTAGCTAAGCATAAATAAATAACTATATATAAGCATTGGCGAATCCAGGAATTTAGCCAAGCACTACAAGAAAAAATGGTTTTAGGGACGATTTGTTATGGTTGCTAAAAGCAAGATAATGGTCGCTGAAACTTATAACGACCAAATTAGGCTTGGTCACTTGTGGTCACAACAGGGTGGCTACTAAAAGTATTAGTGACCAGCAAATCAGTTGGACGCTAAAGACATAGATCTAGCGACCATTCAATAATGGTCATTAAAGATGTAATTATTAGCGACAAATTTTTTACTCGCTAATGTTAAAATTTATGGTCGCTATAATATTAATATGGTTGCTATAGGTATACATACAGTAACCACATATTTTTGGTTGATAAATGATATTCTTTTAACAACCGAGTACGTGGTTACAATAGATTTTATATGGTCACAAACGTAACGTATTTTAGTGACCACGTTGCGACCAATAAATTCGTTGCTCAATATAATAATTTAACTACAAGAATAGTTGGTTGCAATAAATTTTAATTTGTCACAAATATACCCCCATTGTTTGCATATAATAACCAAAAATAACAATTAATAATTCTTATTTGCAAAACAATCAAATAATGAACGAAAAACAATTGTTTATTGCTACTAATGACAAAAACCAAATAATAATTGTGAGGAAAAAAAATTGAATTGATAGCTGGTTACTACATATTAGCACCTAACTAATTAATTGTTGACAGGTGAATTAAATCAGTGATCAATATATATACAGTAGCAACCAAAGAAACCAAACACTGCCTCGCCGATTAAATTGAACTTAAAACCGCTGACAACATTCACATCTGGAACTTGATTGAAGTAATATCATTAGCTTCAACTGCCTCTGCCTCTCTACGGGTGCCTGAAATTGGGTGCCTGGAATTGGATGCCACAGAGAATCAGAAGATATACATGCAATTGTTTTCCAAATGTAGTGATCATATAAGCAACAAAAGCAACAAGGAAAATCTTATGTAATGAATTGATTTACCTTATCAGTAGAGCCACCAACTAAACTTTAGCCTCAACTGCAAATTTGGCATTTATAAGTTATAACCTACATAAGAGATGAAAACAGGGATTCAAGTTTATGAGAAACCAATTCCAATGAATTTATCATAAGGAAACATGAAACCAAGAGTTGACTCGTGTTTGTTTGACGAGTTCTCGAAACAAAGGTTTAAAACATTTGTTTCCAGAATTTCTTTGAAAAATCATAACAATTGGTACGATTATCCAAATTGGGAATGTAATATGACAAATGAAAGCTAACAACTTCACCTACATGTTCACTGAAGACTCTCACCACAAATTATGATCCTAGCATATTCAAAACAGGCCCAAAAGATGATTACAGAAAACTGCCAGAATTTCGGATAAATTCTCTTTTCTGGTATAGTTTATTGTAAAATTCATAACTATTTGTAAAGTTATCCAAATTGGCCAAACAATTTACCAAATCAAAGCTGACAACTTCATCTAAAAGTTTACGAAAGAAATATATCCCAAATTATTATCCTAAGACGGTAATAAAACCCAACGGAGATGATTCATCAAAACTGCCCTTTTTTTGGCAGACTCACTGCCGTCAAATTCTCATCTCTAAAAGGCTATAAAAATTGCTCGAATTAGAAGCAATTTAACACTTACATATAATTATCACGGTCCTCTACGAGTTTTGTGAAGAGACTGATTAGAAAATCTCACTCCAAACCCTTCGATTTCGACTCCGAAAACAGGTGCGGCAGAAGGTTTACTATTTCTCATAATTTCGCCAACATAGCTGTCGGGTTAAATTTGGTTATATAACTTGAAGAAATAACTAACAAAGTCTTTCTCAAATAACAAAGTCTTCTCACCTCGAGTTAGCACCAAAAGCAACATCATAGACCAAAATTTTCTTAGGTACACAACCACGAATGACACACCTGAAATAAGAATCCATTAGTTTCTTAAACTTCACCTTCGATCACATTACTTTAAACTTGTTGCTCAATGTGCATAAGACAAATTTCAAATAACTAATGACTCAAATAACTAATGACACATATAGATGCTAACTATGGATAGTAAACTAGAAACCAACGATATTTGTTGTCACATTTTCTTCCAAAAATCGTAGCAGGCCGTATGCTTATCCAAATTGGGAAAACAATATACCAAATAAAAGTTCACAACTTTATCTACAATTGTGATGAAGATACCAACCCCTAATTACTAAGATAACACAACAATAACAGCCCATAAAGTTGAATACATGAAACTGCCAGAATTGTTTTGGACAAACTTGTTTGTTGTCACAGTTTATTTGAATAATCATAACAATTTGTAGAGTTATCCAAATCGACCAAATAATATACCAAATCAAACCTCACAACTCAATATACAAAACATCAGAAGACACATAGCCTAAATTATTATTCCAACATAACAAAAACAGCTCCGCATGATGATTAGGCAAAACTGCCCTGTTTTTTGACAGATTCGTTGTCGTCTGATTCCGACCCCTAAAAGGCTATAACACGTGCTCAAATCGGAAATAATTAAACACTTACTCACATTTTTCGAGGTCCTCTACGAGTTTCGAGATGGAATGATTCCCAAATTCACACTCCAAACCCTTCGATTTTGGCTCCGAAAACAGATGCCGTAGCAGATTTTATTTCCCTTTCCGGTGAGCATGCTGAATTTCACACCAAATTTCGGCGACCACCGTCGAATAAAACTGCCTAGCACCACCATTAATGGGAAGCTAACTTCTCGAGGTTTGTAACAGTACCTTCTATCATCAATACTCCACCGTTAACACCTCCGTTCATTTAATTCTTTGAAGAGCCAAAAGTTGAACACCAGATAACGGCCACCATCGGCGACCTCTGCCGGAAATCACCAACACCGGTGTACATCTGAACCCACAATTATTCCAAAGGTGGGTCCTGATCGACGAGATTCATTCTCGAAGGTCTCCAAACTATTATTTTTCCTTAAAACCCAAATCTGAAATTATGTTTTCAAATCCCAATTCTTTTCCTGTAATCAAATCTTCCGAATCTCCTGAATGAATTCGAGAATTCTCGAACAAGGGTAGGAACTAGGGATTGGAGAAATTGGGTGAAATAGGCGAATACTTTTGGGGAAAACAAAAGAGGTAAGATAAGAGGGATTTTGGTGCAAACATATTGAAGAAATTAAGAGATAATTTTTTCTTGATTTTCTGTAATATTATGCGAGAATGGGTAGAGGGCGAAAGAGAGCGTAAGGAGAGAATGAACGGAGTAATATTCTGTGATGAAGAAACGAAAGAATTATAAATGGCTGTATTCTTTTTATTATTTACATTTTCGCCCCCATCTTTATTTTATTTTCTTTTCTTTCATTGATTTGTTTAAAAACTAAACTAGGGACCAAATTCATTTGATTTCCGTAAGTAGTTTCATAGTAACCAAATTCAAGTGGTTGCTAGCAACCCAATTAAATGGTTGTTAATAATTAAATTAAAGACTCGTAGCAACCGTAAAAAAAATTGATGTTAACTTGGTCACTATTGACACTAAATTATAGTGACCATAAAAATTGTCGCTACAAACTTTAACTTTAGTTGCTACAAGATGTTTAACTATTAGTGACCACATATAGCTACCAAATGCTCGCTGGTCGCAAAAAGATTTAACCCTTCCCACTTTTGCTACAAAATTACTTTTGGTCACTAAATGTGAACATTCAGTGACCATTTATTTATGGTCGCTAAGAATTTGGTCGCTAAAACTAGTTTTTCTTGTAGTGAAGAGTGTTCGAAATTATAAAAGTTTACGGAATAGAGCCTCCGAATTTTTTTTAATAGTAATAATACACACATAAAATAATACTTATATGTAAGAAAATCAAAACTAACAAGGTTTTTTTTTTCAATTTTTGGAGAATTTTGAAAAAAATATTGAGAGAAAATCACTACCAAAAAAAAAGGGCTTTTGTGACGGACGATTCAGTCACGAAATTGAAGAAAATTTGTCACAAAAGCCCTTTTATCACAAATTTGTGACCGAATTGTTCTGTCAGAAAAACACTCTTCACAAAATAAATTTGTGACTGATTTTTCTTATCCGTCACAATGTTTATGATAGATGCGTCTGTCGCAATTAAAAAAAAAAATCGTCACAAATACGTAATCTAGGGTCTCCAAGTATTGTGACGGATTTCGTCACAAACCTTTTTATTGGTCATTAATGTGTCACAAATCACTGAGAATTTACACCACTTGTCCGTGACAGACATCGTCACAAAAAAACGTCCGTCACAAATATTCCATCAAGAACATCGGTCACAAATAATTTATTCAAAACCTCCGTCACAAAATTCCATCACAAGTATCTCGTCACAAATATGTTACAAATATTTAATTATCTTTCGGTCACAATTCCATCACTGGTTATTGATTCAGGAAGTTTCGCTATTCGCTATTCAAAGCTATTTTAGTTTTTTTATATCTGTTATACGAATATTTCAAAACTTCATTCAACTTCAAGATTATTTTCTAAAAAAAAAAATTGGGGGTTAATGTGATATCTTTGTATAAATCCGGGGTCAATGTGTAAAATTAAGGAAATTAGAGCATAATTGGTGGAATTGATAAAAAATATATTATAGAGGATATTTTAGACTAAAGACATGAGGATGAGTTTAATTGAAAGACTGTTTTTTTTATGGATCAAAATGTATTTAAGTGCCATGGACATTTTTGCCATTCGCCCAATTATTAATCGATATTCTCCATCAAACATGGGAATCGGGGCGAAAAATTTCGACTTTTGTGCAACAACCAAATATTGAATTATAACTAGTTGATAAAATTTTAATATTTTACCATTATCAATAAAGCTAGGTGAGGTGGCCAGACTGGCCAAAAAGGGCAATTTTGTAACTTTACAAAAATATATTAATATATACAATTACTAATATATCCTTATTTATAATATTTAGTTATTTACTGTCCGGTTTGAATTTTTTTTTCTCTCTCTCTACAACATATAATTAGTAGGATTTCAAATTTCAATGTATTAATTATTAGATTACAACTTCCAATAAAATAACATTAATTAATTTATTTTTTTAAATGTTTGGATAAACCCATTGCAACACCTTTTAATTTCATGTATATGTATTAAGATGGCGGAGATGGGATCATGGGATGGTGGGCGGCATAGATATATATATATATATATATATATATATATATATATATATATATATATATATATATATATATATATATATATATATATATATATATATGAATTGGGACTGTGAGGGGTTGTAGAAACACTATATAAATACATATGTGGGGTAGGGGCTGCGAACAATGAGAGAGATAAAGAAGAATAGTAATTAATGATTACTAGTATTTCACCCGTGCGTTGTACGGAGGTGAGTTTCAAAATGAGAAAAATAAACTTATGTAAACGACTATCTCTTTATCACAATACCAATTCAAGTAAAACAAAATGAAAGGAAATAAAAAACATAAACTTTATCTCTTAATTTAGAGTTGTAACATATGAAATTAAGTTAAATATTACAAATAAGAAAACATGAGGCGCGCAAAGCACGATATTAAGATTAAGTAAATCATTTAAAACATATGGTATAACTCTATTTCTTGGATTGCAATCTACTACACTATGTGAGTCTTCTGCAAAATAACTAAGGTAACAACAAACACGGTAGCGGAGAAGTAACACAATAGATATTCAAATAACCAGCAAGTTTATCACTAATGGCGTTCATTTAGTGATGCACATTACTCAAACAACAATAAAACTTATAAATATTGCAAAAGAGATATGATGTATACGCCACTACCAGTACTGATACCAATATTGATACCAATACGGATACCAATACTAATACCAATATTGTTACCAATAGTGATACTAATTCAATTAATACTGGTACTCATACTAATACTGATATTGATACTAATACTAATACTAATACTAATACTAATACTAATACTAATACTAATACTAATACTAATACTAATACTAATACTAATACTAATGCTAATACTAATACTAATACTAATACTAATACTAATACTAATACTAATACTAATACTAATACTAATACTAATACTAATACTAATACTAATACTAATACTAATGTTAATACTAATAGTGGTACTAATACTAATATTGGTTCTAATATTGGTACTAATATATACTAATACTAATACTAATTATACTAATATTGATACTAATACTAATACTAATACTAATACTAATACTAATACTAATACTAATACTAATACTAATACTAATACTAATA